TAAAATAAAATTTATTAGTTATAATTTAATATATATTTTTTGAATTTTTTAAAAGAATTAGTTAATATAAAAATTTTTATTAATTAAATTTTATTTTTAATTAATAAAAATTCTTATATTAATTATATAATTAAAATAACTCTTTTAAAAAAAATCTAAAAAATCTGAAAAAATATATATTAAACTATAATTAATAAATTTTATTTTAATATTAAAATAAAAATTATTTCTTAATAAAATTATAAATTTTAATATAGAAAAAATTTTAATTTTTATTATATTTTATTAATAAATTTAATTTCTGATATATTATTTTTAATCATTATTATAAATTTTTCTAATTATTTTTTTAAAATTTATTTTTTATTATAAAAAATTTAATTAATTATTTTTAATATATTTTAATTAATAATAAATCAATTATCTAAGAAAATTAAATATATATTTAATAAAAGTAATAATAATTAAATTTATTTAAAAATAAAAATATTTTATATAATAATTTTATCTAAAATTTTATATAATATATATAATTAAAACATTATATTTTATAAATATTAATATTTCATTTATTTTTATTCATTTTTTATTAATAATAATTTTATTTTTAAAAATTGTAAAAATTGATAAGTAGATTTTTATTTATACATTTATTTTCATATCTTTAAGATATATACATTAATTTTAAATAGTATTTTGAAAATAACTATAATTATATCAGCTGAATAACTTTAATTAATTACTCAAGACAGATTTCTTAATATATTTTTTAAATAATTAAGCATTATTTATAAATATTCTAATTTAATACAATTGTAAATAATCTTTAATATTATCTTAGAAAACAAGTATTTGTGTATCAAATAATATTGTTCAACTAATCAATTTACATTTATAACATAAATTTCAGTGAAATAAATATTTTCTGTGATCTTTAATATTACTTTCTGCCAGAACTATACACAAACTCGATTGAAAAATCTTGAAAAAATAGAAGATTTATATTTGAAAAGTGTATTATTTTTATTTTTATTAATTCTTTATAAGCTAAATTCACAAATAATCAATTTGTTTCATTAATTATCAGTGTATATTAAAAATTCATTTGTGCCTGTATAATGAGTAGCCAAAGCTTTTCCATCTACCGTAGGTTGAGAGAAAGCAATGGAGCCGTGTTTTAGATTACATCCATAAATGAACTTGTTTCTTAGATTAAAATAATGTTAGCGTAAACAAATTCTGGATGCTAGTAACCTTATATTTCGAATAACATGATACCTGACAAGATCCAATAATTTTGTAGCAATTCTTTTTCTGCGGTAATTTTTAGAAACCCAAATACGACTAATTCCGCAAACTGCAGGAATTTTCTTGGTACTATTTGATGTGGAAATTATCTTTTTAATTCTCGTTATTAATAGAAATAAACTATTAGTTTAAAAACTTTTTAACCTGCAAAAGATTGCTGATCCAGCATCTCGAGCTCCAACTTTTGATGATGCTTCATTCTCATTAGGGATGACTCGATAAGCTTGAGATATATGCTCGGCAACTATACACCCTACTACCTTTTTCTTTGCAGTAATATATAAGAATATTTTACAAAGATTTAGTTTTTGTTCCGAAAGTTCCACCGAGTTCAATTCCGAGTTTATGATTTCTAATACTTCACGGATCTAAGTAAATAAAAAGTTAAAATTCTGGATATATAAAAAATAAAAAAGCTAAAAGTTACCTTCCGTTTTTCATGAGTACTGATGCGACTATAAGTAAACAGAATCACTCGAGATTTGTCGGAAAATTCTTGAATGACGATTTCGTTCTTATATCCCTATTACACAATTTTTGTCATTTGATTAATTTTATTCGATGTTATTAATAGATAATACTATCTCTTACCGGATAATCAATACCACCAATAACTCCTCGATGATACCTGTCATGAACTAGGTCATCTTCAGTTCCTTTACTGTAAGACATTTTACACTCTGAACAGGTTATCGGACCGAAATTTTTTTGTCCTAATTCCAGAAATAGCTGCTCAAATTTATTGTTAGAATTGAAATCATTGAATTTTCTTGGTGTTGTGGGAGGTGTCTCGAGGTTTGAACTCTCTAAGAGCCTTTTGGTAAAATGAGGTATCAGAGGATATTGCCGCTGCTCAATTCGAGAATTTTCCGTGAAATTTTTCGGAACATTGCCATTTTTGCTGCCATCAAGAAACTTTTTGCGTCCATTGACTTTTAGCGAATGGGGAGTCAATTGCTGATTACTGGCAGGCTTAATAAAAAAGTCAGCGATGTTTTGTTGGCCATTATTTTCTGAATTTTTGCGTTTTCGGGATGTGTTTTTATTCACATTAGTATCAAATGCGATGTTATTCTTTGATTGAAGAGGGGACAACGGACTATTTAGTCCCAAGAATCTTTGTTTTTCGACTCGATTTTCAGAATCAGAAACGGGTGATGGATGCGGATAATGATTTTCAAGTGAATTTTCCGTCTCTTGTTCGTTACTATTCATTGCGCGCTTAATACGCATACTTTTATTTATAGCATGGTTATTATAAATTCTTTCGACAAAGAGAATATAAATTTGATAGGATACGAATTCTAATTAATTTTTCACCTTGTTGACGAATCGTCATTCTCTTGCACCAGTTTTCTTTTACCATAGGTAATTTTAGGAACTGGCCTAGGCTTAATTCTATAGTTATGTCAGAAGTAAATGCTTTTTCTTCATAAACTTAATTATTTATTTATCATCTTTACCTAGAAGGAATAACAACAATAGGTTCTTTATCTAAAGCTAGAATTATTTCGTTTTGCGACATTGTGTGAAATGAGTTCTCAATATTCTAAAGATTAAATTGTATTAAATTGTCTAAATTCCAAATTACGCGTGTTGAATTCTACGTGATAATTGGTCCAATAAAGTCACATGATTTTTTAAATAAAAACTCGAAAGTAAAAAGAATTTTATTTGGAAAGATGTCTTTTAATCCCAAAATAACTGTAGATTTTATTAGTATTGGTTGTAATCGACACCCTCAAGTTGCGGCCTGGGGACTTGACGGCTTACTTGTTTATGGTGCGCATAACCTTATTGCCTTGTATTATCCGCAGGTAAAAAAAGAATACTTGGACAAATAATCAATTTCGAAATTACATATAATGATAAATATACGCTATTTCTTTTAATAGAGTGAAACAAATAAAGGTGTTTTTGCCGCTTTATCTGGGCATACGGATCGAGTAAATTGTATTGAATTCATCAATCGAGGTATTTTCACAAAATATCGCATATTAGATTTCATTAATTTAATAAATTTTTGCTAAAATTATAGGAAATGGATTAAATCAGAGAAATATTGCCTTCATTTCTGGATCTGCTGATAAAACTGGCCGTATTTGGAAAAAAACCTCGGACGGTCAGGTATTTCTAATTTGATATAGGATATTGTTTTTAGAAATGATTCATTAAAAATTTAAAATATTTCTAGTGGGTAAATTCTGCTGTGCTTTTGGGACACGAAGGCGCTATCGCTACTGTTGGTGTTATGCGTGCAAAGTCTATTTTAGTCGAGAAGGATCTGATTGCTACAGGATCAGCTGATGGAAGAATAAAAATATGGGAAAGAACTATTGACAATGAACAAGGTAATAAAAGCCTTGCAAACAAAGTTACTTATATTTTTTGAATCAATTTATCATAAACATTGTATATTTTTTACTTATATCTAATTAGATAAAATTGAATGCATTCAAACAATCAATGTGGGAGTAAAATATCCGTTAGCATTAGCTTTGTCGTATCTGCCTGAATCTAATGGTACATTTTTACTTATAAATTACCTTGCCTGTATATAATTCCTATTAATGTATAATGTTTTTACAATTAAAAGTTCCCATAATGGCATGTGGGAGTACAGATAAAAAAATATCGATGTATGTTCAAAAGAATGGGCAGGTATGGTAATTTTAAAGAAATTTTATTTTTATTTCTTTCATCAATACTCTTTAAACATATTTTCTATTCATAGTTTCATCAAACTCTTTTATTGCAAGGACATGATAATTGGGTTCGATCGCTTGCGTTTGCAATATACACAAAACCTTCAGCAATTCCAGATTCATCTTTGGAATCATCTCTGTCATTTCATTATCACTATAAATTACGCGATGGAGATCTTTTATTGGCTAGTGCTTCTCAGGATAAATTTGTGCGAATCTGGAAAATATCAAGTACTATTTCAATTCCTAATAATACGCTAGATCAATCAACTGAAATTGGAATTTTATCCAGCGATATTTATACGGAATTAAAAGAAAACATAAGGTTGGTATTTCTATATTGAATATTTTCTTATGAACAGATATGATTTTTCAAAAGCTTAACAGATTAATATTTTAGATCGGATGGTAAAATACAATTAAGTACAAAAGCTCACTTCATAGATGTTGACATATTTGAAAACGGTGAAGAGAACCCAAGGTTAGAAAAAATATATTGATATATTCAGTTTTGATTATTCGTGTTATTTATTTTTATTTTATTTTGTTCGTTGTAGAAAACGACGATATAGTGTTATGTTCGAAGCATTACTTATGGGACATGATGATTGGGTCTATAGTGTTTGCTGGCATCCGCCTATTCCTGGTAACAAAAGTTGTAAAACATCAAATATTTTTTTCATTATTTAACTTAATAAATTTATAAACTCAGAAAATAAATCAAATTATTATCAACCGATGGCTCTTCTTACTGCATCGTCTGATAAATCTATGATGTTGTGGAAACCGGAAGCTGAAACTGGTCAATGGGTCAATATGGTAAGTTAAGACAAACTTTTCTTTTTTTGATTTCTCTATTGTAAAAATAAAAATATTGTAGGTTCGAGTTGGAGAAATTGGAGGATATGCTCTAGGTTTTTTTGGAGGCTTATTTGGCCCAGATGGAAAATATATCATTGCTCATGGACATACTGGAGCATTCCACCTATGGAAGAGTGAAGCATTGGATGAAGGTTTGATCTAATCTCTTCTATTAAAATATTATCTACTTTATTATCGCAAATTCGACGATAAGAAAATATGTAATCTGTTGCTTAATGTTCTTTAATTATTTAAGATAGCCAGGACTGGCATCCTCAAGTTTCCATCAGTGGTCATTTTAATTCAGTCCAAAGTATAACATGGGATTATACATCTGAATATTTGTTATCTGCTAGGTATGTTCTTTCAATTGGTATAGTTAGCTTTGATCAATCTTTCGTTAATTTATAAATATCAATTTTTCTTAAGTTTGGATCAAACCGCTCGGCTTTTTGCTCCATGGCGTCGTCCATCAAATTCAGAACCTCGTGAATTGATTTCTACTTGGCATGAAATTTCTCGTACGCAAATACACGGATATGATATTCATTGTATTTCATTTGTTAATCGTTGGACTTATGTCAGCGGATCGGATGAAAAAGTTAGCTCAGGATTCAGTTTTTTGATGCTTTTTTATCCATATATGCTTTAAAAATCTAACATTATGTACCTATCAATTTAGGTATTGCGAGTATTCGCGGCTCCAAAAACCTTTGTTCATTCTTTAGCCAAACTAACCCAAAATGAAGATATTTTGGAAGAACTGGTATTTTTTATATTAAAATTCAAATTTGGTCTTTTAAATAGTTTATTAACCTTCAATATATGTTATTACATACAAAGGGATCCCGTCCAGTTGGAGCTAATCTACCCGCCTTAGGTTTGTCCAACAAAGCGATATCGCAAGGTGATATCGAAAATTATGTTAAAGCTGCTGAATCCGAAGAGTTCCTGAGTCGTCAAAGCTATGGTCATTCATCAGCGACACCAAATTCATTGGTTCAAATTTTGGAAAAACCCCCGTTTGAAGAACATTTATTGCAACATACTTTATGGCCAGAAATCGATAAATTGTAATTCTTGTTTTAATTTTACCTGGGTGTCTTTATCAACTGTGAAAGATAGATATTGCAAAGATGGATCTTTTAAAAAATTTTTTTTCATAATTGATAAAGATATCTACAGATTGACGTTAATTTGAATATACAATTAAAAGATTTATCATATTGCAGGTATGGTCACGGATATGAAATTGTTAGTGTTGGCTCTAGTCATGATGGTAAATATATTGCCTCTTCATGCAAGGTATGACATTTTGCATAATTATATGATTAACTTATATGAACATATATTTATTTGGAATTTTACAATATAATAGGCAACATCTCCCGAGCACGCTGTTATTCGACTCTATAGCACTGATACATGGAAGGAGATCCCGGAACCACTCCAATCTCATTCATTAACAGTTACAAAAATTAAATTTTCTCATGATGATAAATATTTGCTGTCCGTTTCTAGAGATCGTTTTTGGTCTCTTTTCGAGTGCTGTTCACAAGGTAATTAATTTTAGATAACTCTTTAGCGCAAATAAATATCTAATTTTTATGTGTTTGTTCTTACAGTTCCTCCTTATAAATTGGTTGCCAAAAATAAAGCTCATGCACGCATTATTTGGGATTGTTCTTGGGCTCATGACAATAAATTTTTTGCGACTGCATCACGAGATAAAACGGTTTGTATTCTAATATATAAAGATTTCCAAATGAATAACTTAATTTTTATGCTTGTTTTTACAGGTTCATTTATGGACATTGAAAAGTGAGGCGACAATATCTAAACAGGATCAATGGATTTCCATAGCTACTTTAAAACTACCCGAGGCAATTACAGCAGTTGATTTTGCTCCAAATTCAATTGATGGCTGGTAAATTTTGGGCAGTAACATTATTATTTATTCCGTGTTTTTTAATGAGAACATCTTTTTATTAGTTACATTTTGTGTATTGGTCTTGAGACGGGAAAAATACATCTATGCAGTTCAGAAGCAAACGATATGAATAAATGGCATACGATAAAAGAGTTTGAAACAGGGTGAGTCGAATTCGCTTTCTTATGCTATGAAGGATATAGCCTCTATTTTCTAAAATCCTTGTACTATCTGATAAAGACTCGGCCATGCTGCTAGGATCAACTGCTTGGCATGGCGTCCACGCAATAATTCTTTAATAGAAAGAGATAATTCAAATTTATGGCAACTAGCAAGTTGTGGTGCTGATTGGTCTGTTCGGATTTTTAACATCGAATTTAAAAAAATACGATACGATATTAATAATAACAATAAAAGCTAACATAATATTAATAGTAGGTAAACAGAAAAATACCTAAATAAACTTTAAATGGTAAAATACATATATGTAAATCTGGGATAGATGTCTAATTAAAAACAAATTTTGCATTGTTTTATTATTTATATTTCTTGTGCTTAGATAAGTCTGGGTTTTGGTTGATCTTGATACTCATAATGCAAATCAAATACGTCATCGCAACTAATAAATTCCCAGCCACCTTCTTTGACATGGTATACTTTTTTTTTGAGTCCAATACAAATGATGAATGAGTATTTTAGCAAATTTGAAGTAATAAAATAGATCATATATATACTTACCGTTCACAGAACCACCCGAACCCGCATCACGATAAGTTGCATGATAAATCGAACGTCTTCCCAAATCAATTGCAGCATTTACGTCCAGTTCATAGTCATATCCTGGGTCTAAAACACCATAAGCAAATGTAGATCCGGAACCGACAGAAAATAAATTGCTTTTTAAACGCGATCCATCTGAGTCAACATAAAACAGATTTGGTCCCTGTGTATACATAAAAAATGCTGATAAATTAAAGAAAAATAAAACAATACAAAAGAATCCAAAAGATTTACCGTTTTATCCCATCCAGTTATCATGGTACCCTATTATTTCATATATACCGATATAATCAAAAGAAAAATTTGCAGAATTACACTTCAGATAACTGACCATACTAAGCCCCATTCCTTTATAAGGATAAACCATATTCGCTAAAAGTTTTGACGCAGCTGCTACTGAAATTAACTCTTTATTCTTCAATTCGTATAGTCTATCGATAGAAAATACGTGTTAACTCAAGAACCGGTCTCAATAATACAAAACATTTGTTAATTCCCCTTAACACCTGCATCGTCTCCCTAGATCTCTTTCCCAATACTGACAATCGGCCGCGCCGCCAGCCATTGTTCCCAAAAGATACGGATTAATTTCAATGACCTTTTTTACGGTCTGTGAAGCTAGAACGTGCAATTGATATTAAAAAACAAAATTGATTTTTATCAAAATTCAATGAAACAATCAATTACCAATGTATCCTCCTGCTGTTGCTCGAGAATCTACTGCGACAATAACACCATCCTTAAAGGAGAATGCTAAGGTAGTAGTACCGTGTTGAATTTTAATTCGATATCCTTCAGAACTTTCGTCTGTAATTGTTTTAAGGAATCCAACTGGCTTTTTATTTATCATGTCAAGTAAAATTAAGTGGAAAGTTAAACAATGTATCAATGTATGAAGGTCGCTGCCAAGGTTAAATCTAAAAATATAAACTCACATTGTTACAAGCGGGAACATCAAATGCTGGCATAGCAAACTCTTCTGCAGCTTCCAAGCCAAAAGAACCACCAGCTATACCATTTTCGTCAAACCATGTTGGTAGTGTCGTTCGAAAAGCATTCACATATGCGTCCATTATCTCTGGTTAAATAAAAACAAACTTACGTGACGATGAAAAATAAAAATGAACGTTAATGCGTCATCGATTGCGCGCTATATCTTCCACCCACACGTGATATTGTTGTGGCGCATTACAGATCAAACCAACCAATCAAAATTAACACCGTATCGCCGACTCAAAAGTTATAATGTCTTGGTGTATAACATGTTACTCATAGATATAAATTTCAGTCACAATAGAATACAGAATAATTCTATATTCATAAAACTCTTGGCAATGAAGCTTATAGATTGCATAATCAGCATAATCAGTTATTATATAAAACTTTCAATAGAACTCAACTAAAATATTACTTTAATAAAAATAATTATTTAGAATCAAGAATAATGATAAAACATCAACATGAGAAGAAGAGTATGAATTTAATATTATACAAATTTAGAATGATCATATGTATATATGTACATGCAAATCTCTTATTAATAATTTAATCTTGAAATTTTCTTTAAGCTTTTATTATATTTTATATTTTTATATTCTTTTTTTTATTAATTACTCTTTTCTATCTTATAAAATAAATATTCTTCTTAGTAATTTTACTTTTATTTAAAATATTCTTAAAAATAAAAGATAATAACTTTTATAAATCTTTATAAATCAAAGAATATTATTTAATAATTAAAAAAAATAATTAAGAAATCTATTATAATTTCAATAATAAAATTCAATTGAATTATAATTCAATAATGAATATATCTAAAGAGATAAAAATAATTATAAAAGAAAATTTAATATAATCAAGTAAATTTTAAATTAACAAATAAATAGAAAATATATATAAGATTATTTTGTTAATGATTGTAAACAAGATATAAACAGTTTTAATTTTATAACTTATGATTATTTTTATTATTTAAAAGTATTCAGATCTGAGAGAAAATTACA